AAACGGGGCCATTCCTCAGCCTTTCTGAGCCTGTTTCTTCACAACGGAAGCTGGGTTAAGCCTAGTACCTGGTAGGTAACAATAAACAGTGCTAATCTAAAATAGGAAAGGCCAGGTATGGTGGCACACACTGGTAATCTCAGAACCCAAGGGGCTGAGGCAGGAGGATTAGAGTTCAAGGTCATCATCCTCTGCTACAGAGCAAAACTCCGCCAAACACTTTCAGGTGTCTTTTTATTTAACATTGTCTGGGAGGCTGGCAGCTTCCCTCATTGGCCTGTGAGAAGGGTTTGTGACCTGTTACATGGCTGGGGGAGGTGTTGTGGAACATTACTTTAACTATGTAAAGATGTAGAGCAAGTTCCAGGACAGCCAAGGCTACAGAAAACCCTGTCTCAAAAACATACATACATACATACATACATACATACATACATACATACACACACACATACATGTATACATGCATACATACATGTATACATGCATGCATGCATACACACATACACACATACACACACACACACACACACACACACACACACACACACACACACACACACTCACACACACACACACATCCATAGAAAGTTAGGGACTGGAGAGAGGGCTCAGTGGTTAAAAGGTTAAAAGCCAGTATTGCTCTTACAAAGGACCCATGTGCTGGTCAGTTTTTGTCAACTTGACACAGAGTCACTTGGGAGGAAGGAATCTTACTTGAAGAATGGCCTCCATCAGATTAGCCTGCGGGTGTATCCGTGGGGGCATTTTCTTGATTAATGATTGATATGGAAGCCCCCCCCCCCCCACTGTGGGCTATGCTAACTCCTGGGCAGGTGGTCCTGAGTTATATACATATAGGAAAACTGAGCAAGGCTGTAAGCAGTACCCCTCCATTTTCTCCCTCCAAATTCTTGATTGAGTTCTTGGCCTGATTTCACTCAGGGATACACTGTGACCTGAGAGATTAAATAAACACTGTCCTCCTCCAAGTTGCTTTGGTCAATGTTTTATCACAGCAACAGAAAAAAGCCCAGGACAACCTGAGTTCGTTCAAGTGCTCACGGCCATTTGCAATCTAACTCCAGGGGATCGGAGATCATCCTTTGACCTCCAGGACACTGTTACTCATATGCACATACACATAATTAAAAATAAAAATAAATATTCTAAAAGGGAGTGTGGACAGGAGATGGCTGGTTATCATCACTCTGACCTGGTGTGGCCTCCAGACGTGCCCACTCTAGGCCTTGGAAGGAGTCAAGCAGGCTGCATACACAGGCCCCCATTCACTCCACAAGGGGCCACTGATGCAGGGAGCCAAGCAGAGCTGAGCACAGCCCAGTAAGTACAGTGACGTCATCAGCCGGCAGCTCGAGAACCACTGGCTGAAACAGGATTTGCCTGGACCAATGCTTTACTTAGCCACCTACCACAGCTGGCACCTACCAGCTACACCTTAACAACTATCACAAAAAAACACAATGGCCCGGAAGCAGGAGCTGGTGAGTACTGGCCAAGCTAGGTAATGACCCCCTAAAGGCCTCCGCTCCTCAAGCCTGGGGACTTCAGCCTGTAGGGGCTGGCATAACAGGTATGGAGCTGCTGGCCCGCGCTGTGGTGCCAGGGCAGGACAGGATGGGAGATGTAGCAGCATCCCAGTCACTTGTGGCCTGGGACCCGTGGTCCCGTAAGGGTTGTGGCTTAGGTCCCAGTTCCAAGTTCAAGGTGCCATGCTGGGCACTGCCGTCCCTGTGTGATTTTGCTTGGGTGAAAATAGTACTCCTTTGAGGAACCTTGAAGCTCCCCCAGAATCAGGCTGAGCCCCCTTCCTTGCTATTCTAGACACTTTCAGGGTGATTTCTTCGGGAGGCCTGGCCAGCTGCTGCCCAGGGGTGTGGAGCAGCCATGCAAGTGTCCCAGGTCACAACCACCTGTCAGTCCCACCCACCCTCCTTCCTGGTCCCCAACAGGCTTTCCTAAAGTTGAGTCCCACTGTGCTCAGGTGGGCATTGCTTCAAGGATCCCCTTACTGTGTCCTGGGATTCTGTTCAGACCCAGGTGCCAAACAGACTCACTCTGGGGCTTTTGAGAGAGGTCTGCAAACTGGCCTGTGTCGGGCTTGGCCTTCTACTTCCCCTTGCTGTGAGCTTTTCGGAGCAGATGTCTGGCCAGCAGTGACCCTAACAGGCAGGAAGCCCAAAGCTGTGCTATCTGCAGTACTAGCTACCTCAGCCCCTCTCTACCCAAAGGCCAGAGGACCTGGTCCCAACACAGGGTGCGTCCAGGCTCCCTATGCAGTCCTTACTGAGACCTGGGCCCTGCACAGCACAGTGCGGCCTTCCCTCTGGGGGAATTATGTGGTGAGCAGAACCAGGTTCTGCTGTGGGCCATTTGTACTCTCCCGTTATGCCTTTCCCCGATCTTTCCTGGTCAGTTCAGATCTGTCCCTCCAAGGACTCTTGGATGACCTCCCTGACATCTTCCAGTGCCACTCACCGCCAGCCACTGTTAGTTTTCCTCTGAGCACTGCCTCTTCTGGCAGTATCACTCCTTTCTATTTTTCTGGCACTCTCCATGAGAACAGAGCCCAGAAGCCCTCTCCCATTCATTTCTTAGGAGAGCATCTGAAACGGGTCGTGTTTACTGTTCCTCACTATATAGCCCAGGCTGGTCCTGCCCTCTCAATCTTCCCAAACTCCACTTGGTGTTTATCATCTGGACCTCCCAACATCCTCCACTGAGCACCTACTCACCATGGTTCTGTGCTAAGTGCTTTATGTTGGACACTCCACAGAAGAGGCTTGCCTGACCATTTCATGACCAACTCCTAAGGTCGAAGAGAGCTCACAGGATGAGGGGAGGCCCAGGAATGCATTTTCCCGGGTTTCCTCCCTCTTCTTTCCCTCCCCATCTCTTAAGAAACTCAGCTGAGTGGTGGTGCAGGCAGGAGGTAGAGGCAGCACTCGGGAGACAGAGGCAGGTGGATTTCTGAGTTTGAGGCCAGCCTCATCTACAACGTGAGTTCCAGGCAGCTAGGGCTACACAGAGAAACCCTGTCTCCAAGAAAAACAAAGAGAGAGAAGGGGGCAGAGGGAAGAAACCCATCTTGATGAAAAGAGGACAGGCCTGCTACCCCGGGCCTGGCCGCCGCTCTGCACCTTCCGTCTCAGTAACACAAGGACCACAGCTGCCAGCTGTGTTGGCTTTTAGGGTGGCCTCACACCTGTGTGTGTGCGTGTGTGCACGCCCATGCAATCAGCCCCACACTCCACTGGCCCCCTGCTCGGTCCCTCTCACTTTTCATTCTTGTGCTCTGACGTGAGCACCTGCTGAATCATGAGGCTGAGGTTTGAGGGCCAGATAGAGAATGTGCACCCAGGGAAGCCACAGGGCGACAGACACAGACACTGGAGTGCAGCTCCCGGGGCCTTTTAGGTCACCCTCCGTATGTCAGGATGGATTTTTTTTTTTTAATGACTCATAAAGGGAAGAAGGGGCCAGCTCCGGGGAGTGTGAGGAACAGACGGACGGACGGACGGACGGACGGGAGCTTTGTTCCTAGCTGTTCTGCCTCAGGCTTTTACAAAGCAGTGGGTCAGTGATTTAGACTTCTGTGGTGAACACAGAACTTGCCACCTTTTTTCAGACCAGGAAATCCCCCTGGCATGCTATAAAACTACCTGCCAATTCAGCCTATGCTTGAAGGAGGGCCTGCCAACAGTACCAATCAAAAGGCCCAGGTGATCCGTGCCAGTGTGGGCTCTTCCTGCCTTCTGGCCTGTTTCCCAGGGGTAGGGGTTTGACTCCCAGGCAGGTCCGAGTATTAAGCAGGGTCTTCCCAGCTAGTCCTCCTGCCCCACTTCCCCCCACCCCCGGCTCTAACTAAAGGGTCTGCAAGGTGTCTCTAGTATTGTCACTTAGTCTCGCTCTGCAAGGGTAGGACCTCATTAATTTATACAGCAGGGGCAGGGCTAAATAATGAAGGAACAGAGGGCAAACATGGCCTCCATCCTCCCCACCCCACCTCCCTGCAGGACTGGCCACCCTGGGCCTGGAGGACTCTGGACCTTCTAAAAGCATGTCCCCCTACAGGAATCATGACAGCTCCTGAAGATGAAGTGGGACATGTTTGGCACCAAACTCTGCCGTGACTCAGTCCACCAGTTCCTACCCATCCCATCTGTCTCAAAGCCAGTGTCCCGGGTCCTTTCTGGTGCCCACAAGTGTCCTGAAACAGCCCTTCCACCTGGACTCCCGCCACCGCCGCTGCCTTACAGAGCTGGGTCTGTCAGAGGCCCAGAGAGGCAAAGGGAATTGCCCCAGCCACCAGCAGCACCAGGGCCCCTGCCACCACAGACCACAAAGCAGCGCTCTGGCTCCGAAAAAGTACACAAGGCGGAGAAGGGTGGGAAGCGACAGCCTGGCCAGCATGGCTCATCATCCCCTCTGAAATACTTGATGGCTTGCAGAACCTGCCACTCCTTCCAAAAACTCGGTGAGCCCTGGCCGCTCTGCCCCACCCTCTTCCTGGAAGTAGTTGTGGTCAGAGAAGCAAAGAAGTTTCCTCTCTGTCATCCATTTCAAACTGATGCTGGGTGGACAGTCAGAAGGGCCCACCTCTCCACCAGGAGCGGCCTGGCACCAATGACCTGTCTCTCGGTTTTCTCCTCTGTACACTGGAGACAAGGCAGTTCTAAGTGTCAGGGGCTGTCCCTGTAGGGTTCGCTCAAGCTGGGGTAGCAGAGACCAGGCTCAGATACCCAGGAGAGCTCGGACTGGAGCGGCCATCTTTCCAGACTCACACCAAAACTAGCCTGGCAGTTTGGTCCCCAGCGCTGGGAGGAGCTGTGCTGCCCAACCCCCCAGATCCCCAACCACTTCAAGAAAAATCTGCATTACCACCACCACCACCACCATCTCCCCCAGCGCACGCGCCCCCCCCCCCCACAACCCAGGACGTTTAGCCAAAGCATACGCTCCAGAAATCTTTTTTCTTTAAAAAAAAACTTTCATAATAAAGTTTATTACCTAAACTGGCTGTAAAAATATAAAATAGGGTATTCTGCACAGCAGAAAAATGAAGCCAGAGACCCTCCCCCACCCCTGGTTTGTGCAAAGATACTGGGAATATGTAAACATGGAGAGGTAGGAGTGGGGTTCAAGTCCCGGCCCCAGACACAAGCTGCTACAACCAGAAGACCCGGAGGGAGCACCAGGAGGGGAGGCCCCCCGAGAGGCGGGATGGGGTCTCCGGCCAGAAGCCGGAGGCACCTCGCCCTCCACACCCACTCCCTCCGACCCAGGCGGGGAGGGCTCCCACGTGGTTCCAGGAAAATAATAATAATAATTAATAAGAAATAATAAGGCGCCCCCACTTAATGCTGCGGGCACGGCGGCGGCCGGTCAGATCTGGAAGGGGAAGGAACTCAGGTAGTCACGGAGTACCGGGTTAAGAGGGATGCGCGCCAGGTTCTCGCGACCCACGGCGGCCACGATGCGCTGGCGACACAGCTCCTGCAGCGGCCGCACGCGGCGCTGGCGCAGCGGGGCCCCCAACATGCGGCGCGGCGCCGCCACGTAGTGCTCCAGCAGCTCGAAGAGGCAGTCGAAGGTCTCGCGGCTGCCGTCCAGGTGGAAGCGGCCGGCCTGGAAGTGCACGCGGATGCTCGTGGGGCCCGAAGCCATCTTCACGCTGAGTGCGAAGAAGCAGTTCCGTTGGCGACTGTCGCGCACCAGGAAGGTGCCCACGGGCTCGGCACGCAGCCGCTCGTGCGCCCCGTGCACGCTCAGGGGTCCCCAGTAGAAGCCGCAGGCGTCCAAGAGCGCGCTGGTCCGCGTGATTCGTCGGTAATCGGAGTGGGAGCGGAACGTGCGGAAATGAGTGTCGCCAGGGGCCGGAGCCGGGACCGCAGGGCAGGGCCGCGGACGCGCGGGGGCCGCCGGCGAGGACGAAGACGAGGATGAGGAGGACTCTGGCCGCCGTCGGGGCTCTGCTGCCGGGGAGATCGCATTGTCAGCTGCCACCTGGTTGCGTGCTACCATCCTATACGAGGGGCCAGCCGTAGGGGTGGGCCATAGCGTCCGGGGCTGCGCTGATGGGGGAGACAGAGGCAGTGAGCCGGGCGTCCGGGTGGCGCTGGCCGGCCAGCGAACCCCAAGGAGCCAGGGCGGAACGCGGAATCCGCCCGGAGCCTCTGAGCCTCGGTGGGCTCATCTGTGAAGTAGGCCGTTCCCGTACGTGGAACCCTTCCAGGCTAGCTGTGGAGCCCAGCCTCCCCGCGCGCGTGGAGAAGGGGGCGTGGAGAGGGGCCCGACTCGCGGCCGTCCCCGCTGATGGCTCGCCGCCCAGCGGCTGCCGCCTGCTGGCCACGCCGGGGATTGGAACCCGGGCGGGAGATCTGGGCTCAGGGCCGGAGAAGAGGCGCCGCCGACACCCCGCACGCGCCGGGGCCCGCCTGGGCGAGCCGGTGGGGCGGGAGGGCGCCAGAGGCGTGGCATCCACGACCCCACCACGCAGTCGGCGAGGCCAGTCCTATCCGGCTCTGCTCCCCTTACTCCCATCCCCTCCCGCCTCCTCCGCCGCCGCCCCGGCTCACCTGGCGGCGGGACGCGGGGCGCCGCGGCTGGGGTCTCCGGGGCGGCTGTCGCGCATGCTCCGGGGCCGGGAGCCGTGCAGCTGCCACGGCTGCAGCTCGCTCTACTGCCGCCCGCCCCTGCATCAGGCCCTTAAAACTGGCAGAGGCCCCGCCCACCGGTCCCGCCCACCGTCGCTTTCGGTTTCTCTTTCGGGCGAGTCTTTTGGGTCCCCTTTCTGGCCTCTTGCGGCTCTCTCTGGAGAGAAGATGCTGATCCTGTCCCTAGGCTCGGTCTTGTCTCGCACCTGCTTGATTGGGACCTCGGCGTCCTGGGGTTCTGGCTTCTCCCCGAATCTTCTGGTCGGTGTCTGGGATGGCCACCTTAAGACCGCTCTTTTGCTCTTGCCACCTTCGCCCCACATCCCTGCAGCCGGCCGGGTGGGATGCTCACGCGGCGCTGACACGCCTCCTCCCCTCCTGGTGTCTGCGTCCTCCTGGTCAGGGCTCCGCCTCGCCTGGAGCCTGCTCCCCCCTAAGAAGCTCCTCCCTGCCAGGGTCCTTCCCGCCCAGGACCCGGAGGCCTTGGCAGTCTTGGCCCATCTTGGAGCCTGGCTAGGCAGTCCTGGAGCCCGGCGGGGCCGACGCCCTCCCCTGGAGCCTCGGAGCCGGGCGCGGGGGGCCCCTCCCGTCGGCCACCCGGCCTGGCCTTGGCTTGGGCTTCCCAGGAAGCGGTGGCCTGACCGCAGAGGCTTCAAAGGAAGCCTAAGGCGGTGCGGGAGGGGCGCCCCCGCTCCCGGCCGAGTTCCTCGGAAACCGGGTGGGGTTGGGCTGGGTCCCCAGTGGCCTGGACTCACTCTTCTTGCACTCCTACTACGTGGGCAGCTGGAGAAACTGAGGCCCGGGGCGGGGCTATGATTCACAATGGCTGGGCACCTCCAAACGAACCCAGTGCGAAAAAAAATGAGGCTTTCTCAGCTATAACCCCAAAACTCTGCCTCCCCACCCTCACAGACGGCCTCGAGGCTCCAGCAAGCATCTGCCTGCACAAGGGCTCCCGTGCTCCGTGTACACCTTGGGCTTGGGATCGAGGCGGTCAGACCTATCATTAGGACACTGTGGTTTCGTGATTCAGTTTGTCCTGGAAGGCCAGGAGTAGGTGCCTGGCTGGTGGCGATGTTTATGAATGAAGGCGCGTGAGGAGGTTCGCGTGCAAACTTCTGTGTTTCGCGATGACGCACACTGCCCTCTACAGGCTTCTCTCAGATTGCTGCCAGTCGGCTCGTCTGAAGCGCTGCACTGGCCAGATCTTCCTGGTCTCCCTTTCTCAGCATCCCAGGCTGTGCCCAGAGCTCCACATTTCATGCTAAGTTGCGTCCGTGTCTTGAGCTCCTTGAGTTTGTGTGGCTGGGGCTGGTAGTGGTCACTGAGGAGACGTCTATGGAGGGATGGGAAAGAAGATGCCAAGCGGTGCTGACCAGGGTCGGTCCACACCCTTGGTGACTGATGGGGTAATATAGTGTGGAAAGGCTGGGCTCAGGCCCAGGTTCTCCTCCAGCTAAGCCTCTTCTAGCCCATGTCCTTGGGCATGTGATTGTATTGCCTCTCTCAGCTCTATGAGTGTGTCCATTGCCCCCATTACAAACTGCTCCTTCAGAGTAGTGCCTTCAGGAGAGGTGTTGGACCTGGGATTGCAGGCAGGCATTACCATGCTTGGTTTATGCAGTGCTGGGAACTAAACACAGGGCCTTGTGCATGCTGGGCAAGCACTCTACAATGAATTCCATCCCTGTTTTCCTTTTAGACACCCCAGCCAAGGAGTAGAGCATGCAAAGGGAAAACGGGGGCGGGGGGGGGGGGCATCTCTCTTGGTACTTATTCCCAAGGTGCAGGAGGGCTGGCACTGAGGTGGGGGGAGGTGGCCAGGCTCCTGCAGGCCTCTGCACTACCCCCACGTGTCCCTCACCCCTGCACTGCTTGCTTCCCATCCATCCTTGGGGACCATGCTTTCCTGGGTACCAGTGGTGCAGACTGCCATTGTCTCACTGCATCCCTAAGCTTAGGGAGGCTCCAGCGTCCAGCAAATGAACCCTCCCCCTTTCCTGCTGTGTCTCCCAGTCCTCTTGAGTCTGTTTCCCTTGTACCCTGACACGGTTGCAAAGAACAGGGTGGAGTCAAGACTCTGGATGCAGACAACTCAGTTTCAGTTTAGTTGTAATTCAAAACAAAATGAAACCAAATCCAGAAGGAAAGCATCATGGGATTATAGGTGTGCGGAACTCTTGGAACTTGTTTCACCTCTGTCACAATGACAGAGGCCACCTTTCTCTAGCAGTGGGGGTGGGGAGGAGAAACCATTTCTTGGTTTCTCTTTCCAGCTTTGACAATGTTGTGCTGGGAAACGCTGCCCCTAGTCAGTGTATGTGATATTGAAAGTTATTTGCCCAACACTCCTTGAGGGGAAGGGAGGGAGGGCAGGGAAGAGTAGCCAGTGCAAAGGCCCTGTTGTAAGCAGAGCCTGGGCAGACCAGCACAGACTCAAAGGTCTCCAGCCAGGAAATGGGCTGTTGAAGCAACACACAGGCCCTGAGCTTTCAGTATACCTTGTGCCACACGCAATAACCATTGTTGGATAGAGATACTTTATAACAGACTCAAGGAACAGACTCAAGGGTAATCTTCCAGGGTACACGCTTTAATCAATGTTGCATAGAAATTGCTGCAGTGACATGTTCCTGTAAAGTCAGCATCCTCCCAACATTCCCCTAGTGATGGCTATCTCCGTTTGGGATCAGATGGACACAGGAACAACCTGGAGTGTCTCACTTGTGTCTTCTCCCTAAGACAGGAATGGGAAAGAGGCCTTTAATACTAGCATCCTATCAACTCTCTCCATCCAGAGCCAATGCTTGCCGTTCAGCCAGCTGCCCTTCTGGGCAGCCTTGCCCTTCAGGGAGACCCCACTGTGCAGGTACCTGAGCTACACCTCTTAGTTCGGTGTGTCCGTTTCCGCCTCCTGACCACCTTTCTCTTGTTCACCTTCCCTTCCAAGGTCTTCCTGTTCTTGGAACAGCTGCCGCGGTGGCTGGACCTTGGAGTTGAGTGTCGGGCGTGCATGGCTTGTTTGGAGTGCCTCGATGGTGGCCTGGGGTTCGGGCTGGAACTGGAGCTCGGGTGGCTTGCCTGGCTGCAGCTCCGGCAGTGATGGCTGCAGTTGCACTGGTTACAGGTGTGATCTTGGGACCGAGAGGAGCTATGGGGGTGGGGGTGGGTGGTGGAAAGGCTCTGCGTCTTGGTGTCCATGGGAGGCCACACTTGGAGGGGCAGAGACCTCCTCCTCCTCCTCTTTTTCCAGCAGGCCCAGCTTTGGGGAGCCCCCACAGCCCCTGGTTATATAGCTGGGCCAATTATGATGGCACAGGCCACAGAGGGTGACAGGCATGGCAAAGCTCTGCCCCTCGCCCTCTTCCCAGGGCGGGGCAACTTTCAGGGCCCTGAGGGTCAGCTTATGTTGAGGCCGCATCTGATCCCTGTGTGTTCACGTCTGCATGGTCCAGCTTTGCAGTGGGGGCAGTAGTCATTGCACCCACCCCACAGTGACATTGGGAATTTTAAGTTAGATCATGAGGTTAGGTGAGGAACAGTCTGCAGTCAGCGCTTCAAGGCCTCTGGCAGCTGCAGGATTCTCTTCCTTTTTGCCTGGCCTACCATAGCCAGGGGGTGGACAGTGGTGTGCCCTGGATTAGGTAGTAGAGTCACTAGGGGTTGGAATGGGCCCACCTCCCCAGCAGCCTTCCCAGGTGAGAGGTTGAGGGTCAGGTTCAAAGTCTAGTTTGCACTGAAGTCTAATCTTGGATATGCCATGGGGCTCCCTCAGTCTGAAACCAGCCCTTCCTTCCAGTCCTTTGAGCTGGGATGCCAGCCCTTGGATCCTGGAAGCCTCCCAGTTTGTCTCTGCTCCAGCCCCTAGCCTGGAAAAGGTCAGGTTGTACTGATGCGGGTGTGCTCTTCCCAGTCTTCAGTCACTTTACAGGTGATCTCTACAGCTCTGGCTCTGAGACACTGTCTACCCTCCTGCCCACATGGCCCTGCCCATCTTCTGTGCACTACACCGCCTCTCAGGGCCAGCACTTGCTGTCAAGGGCCTGTGTGTGTGTGTGTGTGTGTGTGTGTGTGTGTGTGTGTGTGTGTGTGTGTACAGGCCACACTACACATGGAATTCAGAGGACAACTCTCAGGTTAAGTTCCTTTAACCACTGAGCCGTTTAACTCATCTTTTAGATAGTCTTAGTGAGCTGACCCTGAAGATGACTCCACCTCCCAAGTGCTGGGATTGATCTGAGTTGATTTCTTAATAAACATGCCAGATGGCCCATTGTGAAAACTGCCTGGTTTACTCAGCCCTGCCTATCCTTTTCAGCCAGCTTTGCCTGGGAGCATCCCAGTGACTGCAATTAGCAGACTGGATGGTAGCTTTTCCCTCCCAGATCTGCGTCCACATGGAGCCTACCAATAGGTATTGGAAGGTGTATGGAAGCTAAGAATCGCGGACTGTGCCGGACCAGCTGGGCGGGCCGTCACATCCACTGGCAAGTGTCCTTACAAGAACACTTGCCTTGTGCTGCCAATTAAAGGCACAGGTTGAGGTCCCGTAGTCATAAGCCCAGAATTTCTGGAGCAGTGGCTAGTGCAGAGAGCCTGGTTCTATATGATACATCCAGACCCAGGCTCTGTGCTCATCCTCAGCATCCTCGTCAGGGTGTAGGATAGCCCCTCACGTAGCCCACTTAGTGCTACATAGAGCCTGCCTCGCTTTGACCCCGACAGCAAAATGAGGGCCCTGCAGAGGCATCCAGCCAGGCTTCCCCACCCTGGGTGGCTGTTCTCCAGGCATGCTCATGCAACACATACGTAGGAAGGGACAGAGGGAAACCAGGAGAGTTCCTTGGAGACTCTTTATTTTCTGAATGTCCTCTTTGGAGTGGCGATGGGCATCCGTCGCTGGGCAGGCCTCAGGGTGGGTCAGGAGTGTGTCTGCTTGGGCTCAGGGCTCGGCTGGGCCACGGCGTCATCCTCAGTGCTCTCCTGCTTCTCGGGCTCCATCAGCAGCAGTTTGCCTTTTACTGGGATCTGCTCCTCCTCCTCCTCCTCCTCCTCTTCCTCGTCATCCTCATCCTCCTCTTCCTCTTCCTCCTCCTCTTCCTCCTCACCCTCTGATGACAGGGAGAAGTTGTCTTGACTCACGCAGGCCACGAGCTTCTTCATGGAGGACTCGTGGCCACGGCTATGACCTGTGTTCTGGGCCGTGCCATGGCTGGTGCTGAGCTTGGCACAGCGGGAACCCATCACCCAGTCCTGTCTCTCTGGACTAGGAGGGAGGCAGCTCGGCCAGTAAGAGACTGTGAGGCTGGTGGGCGTGGCACTGACCTCACAAACAGGTTCCAAGGTACCGCCCTCCCCCACCCTGGAATCTGGAGCTTCGCTGACATTTTCCAGGAGCAATGCATTGGCTCAGATGGCTCTATGGAGAGGGCAGGGACAGGAGCTGAGGGTTATCCCTTCCCCCATGACTAAACTCCCCCCTCGAGTTGCTCTCTTGGTGTAACCTGAACCATGAAAGGACTAGGAATGGTCCCTACGTGACGTGACGTTCACGAAAAGGAGACAGCAGCCAGTGAGTCTCGTGTCAAGCTTTATTTGGCAGGTGGCTTTGCTCATTACTCAGATCTCGTGGCTCCTTGGCAGCTCAGGGCTCAGACATCAACGTGGAATGGTGGTGTGGCCTCGCGTGACGTTGTTTGGGCAGGTGACTATTCGTTGGGCAGGTGACTTCCTTGGCTCCAGGCAGGATGGATGGGCCTGGGGAGGCTTAGTGGCGCCTCCTACACCTCCTGCACCTGCATCTCCTCCTCCTTCGGGATCTTCTGCAGCCTTTGGGAGAGAAAGTTCTGGTTTGCAGGCTACCTGGGAGGCAGCAGCGTTTGAAGGGGGCACTCCTACCTTGTTGGGAGCAGCACAGAACCCCAGAACCTTACCTCTGCGATGCCGCCTTCTGTGGCGGCAGGAGCGTCTCCTTCGCCTCCGGCATGACCGGCGCCTCCTGTGGATCCGGTACAGCCTCCTCCGCGAGCAGCGCCGGTGTCTGTGGTGGTGGTGACCCCTGTGTGTGCGCCCGTAGTCATCCACGCGCTCGGGGCTGAGCTCTTGCCCCTGTTCCTCTTCTCGTCCATGTTCTTGCCCAGGCCCCTGGTGTGGACGCTCACTGGGGCTCCTCATTCGGTAGCGAACCATCGTGCCAGGAGATCAGGAGTCTCTGAGCTGAGGCTGCAGCTGACCTGGATGGGAGGAGGAGGACGAAAGCCTCACCACCTGCTCTTGGTGGTGATGATGGTCTGGTGTGAGGGCTTTCTGGGGCTCATATATAAAGGGGAGCCCCACTGTGACCTGGCGGCCCACCCCTGATTGTTCCCACCCTGCCCAGTCCCCTCTGTGAGGGCAGCACAGGCCAGGTTTGTAGCACTGGCTCGTAGGTTAGTCACAAGAAGATTAGTATGAGAGGGTCTCAGGATGACCTTGAGCTTCTCTCCCGGCCCCTTTGCCCTGCTGCATGGTGTGTGTCACGGTCGCAGAGCGCTGCCAGGCAAGCCACCGAATCCCCTCCCAGCCCCAGTCCGTGCCCTCATCCTGCCGAGCCCTGGGAAAAGCTTCCCACCTTCTCCACGTGAGCTAAGGACAGTGTAACTAAAACAGCATCTCCCGTGGGGGAAAGAGTCTGGGTTGCTCAAGGACATGCTTCTCTCCAAAGCTGGTTTGAGATTTTGCTTGTTTTCTGTGTAACTCTGCCCTTCCTGGGACTTGCTCTATAGACCTGGCTAGCCAGATCTGCCTGCCTCTGCCCCATGTGCTGGGCTTAAAGGAGTCCTTTCTTTCCTGGGGCATACTTGAAACATTGTAACCCAACAGCAAAAAAATAAAACTTGTGCTTTTTACAACATGGTACCTTGATCTGCGTCCCCATCATGGAGTATATTGACGCAGTCCCTCAGGGAATCAAGTCCTGAGTTGTATTGTGTGACTGGCATACACAAGGTCTTGGGTCCTCAACACCACAAAAACCAAAGGGTGATCACAACACTCAAGGTCCACTGCTGGCCTAGAAGGCGAAGCCTGTGGAGGCCCTGGAAGGTGAAGACTGGCATCTGCCACTGCTTTGCAGAAATCACGGGCGGTTATCTGACCTCTGATTCACACAAGCTGGCCCAGAGGATGGGGTCAGCTGAGTGCCAACCTTAAATTGGCCCCATGGGCTTACCAGAGAAGGGATCAGTGATGGGACAGTCACACAGATCCACTGGACTTTCTTGTTCAGCTATAGCCAGTTCCTGCCTGGCTTTCCGACAGTCTTTGTATGGACTGGGGCCCATAGTGAGGCCCTCAGACACATGTTGGGGAGGGATCTCATGAGAATCTGTTATTGTCAGGTTTGGAGGCCCCCCCATGTCACTCACATCCCCCTTACCCACACTCACCCACCCTTCCCAGAACCCAAGAATCTAGAGGCATGAGTGGGATGAGTTTAACATTTATTGACAGGTGGCATTGTTCCTTAGCAGGCTCCTGTTTTTCATTGGACGGTGGCATTTTTCAAGATGTGGCGAGAGGCTCTTGAAGTCTGGTAAAATTTTCAGGCAGGAGTTTTGATGGACTTGCTATTTTGTGCATCTAGTATCTTTTACACCTCAGGGTGTATCTGCGGCGGCGGCAGCACCCTAGGAAGGCAAGAAAGATGGTGAGGAGGGTGGATAATATCAGGCTGTGCCCAATCCCTGGAACACCGTCCCCCCAGAGCCAGCACAGCACAGCCCCCCTGCTCACTTCGCCTCCTCCGCCGGCAGCATCGCCTCCTCCGTCTGCGACATCTCCGCCTGCGGCGGCGGCATCTGCTCCTGCTTTTGCTGCGGCAGCATCGGTATCTGGCCATGGTGCTGGCTTGGCCGGGAGCTGGCTCAGAGCAGGGGGCACCACCTGGGTCGAGCCAGCCAACCTGTGAGCAGGTGGAATTTTGCGGGCTGTGGATGGAGAGCCCGCGCCCTCTTCCTCTTATAGACACAAGGGGCCCCCGGGGATTATGAAGTCAAAGAGAGCCAGGACCTCACAGACCATGGCCAGGGAGGACCTGCACCATGTCCAAATATGGGCATGAGGGGTGGACAGCATTTTGGCATCAGCAGTTGCCTGTGTCATAGTCAAGAAGGATGGCACCCTCTTGAGCGTTCAGTCATTCATTCAACTTAGGTGCTAGTGAGCACCTGCCACACACGCCTGCTTCTGGGCTAGGCCCTGATAGATAATCCGAGGCCAGGCAGGTGGGTGAAACAGCCATACAAAATTGAAACCGTCAGAAAACACACGTCTTCAGACTGCCCAGAGGATGTTTGCTGAGGGAACTTGACCTTATGAAAGTTAGCGGAACACCCAGTGGGACACTGACAAATGAACCCAGAGGGTCTCAGCTGCAGGAGGAGCAGCTCCAGTGAGAACACTGGGGCGCTGTTAGGTGCATCAGGTAGGCACGGGGGTGCAGGCCAGCTTTTGGACATTACTAGACAGGAGATGAACGTGGGTGATGCTGCTGGCCCCTGCTCCCCAAAGTTCACTTCCTGTTCTGAGTGCACCTTGGTTGCTGCCCAGCCCAAGGGGGAAGCTGAAAGGCAGCTGGACAAGACGCGGAGGGAGGGAGGCCCAGTAGGTGAGGGAGGCAGCGATGTGGAATTGGCTGAGATGGAATGGGACCTGCTTCATGCCCCTGTGAACTTTAGGCTTGGCATCTGGTCACAGAAAAAGGGGCATGGAATGAGAGAGAGGCTCTGTTGTGTTTTCTGTAGGAAGCCGGAGGCCATCAGTGTCCTGGCTCTAGGGGAACACTGGGGGGCAGAGGAGTGAGTGATGGGCGTGCTCTCGCCAGCTGTTTCTAGGCGTCTCTGTCTAAAGATGCAGAGAAACCTGGAAGGGAGCAGTGAGCCGGTGGATGGGGATGTGAACAAGGGGCCGATATGGGGAAAGCCTCAGAGCCACCCCGTCACCCCCCTCTGTCATCAAGTTCTCTTTGTTCTCAGAGTTGCCTCGCCATTCAAGAACAGGGCTTCCCACATGGCTCCAGAGCTCTTCAAGCCTAAGAGAAAATGAGACTCTAAGGAAGGGGGTAGGTGCTCTCCAGAGAGAGAGGAGAGAGCTCAGGTGCCCCACGTCCAACCCACAGGTGTCTGAAGATCAAACTTTAGGTCACTAAAGGCTGCCGTGGGTGGGACTGAGCAGGCTAGGGTCAATGTTCACTGATTCCTTCTCCGTTCGCTTGGGTTTCTATGCAGGGCCCACACTTAGAGGGTAGACATTGTGTTTCTCTACGTCAGGATATCATGCCTTCACCAGCCACTGAAACCCTCCACACTGGAGATCCCCTCCCTGGCCTTGCCGTCAACTTACATTTTTTTTTTGAATATTTATTTATTATGTATACAGTGTTCTGCCTACATGACAGAAGAGGGCACCAGATCTCATTACAGATGGTTGTGAGCCACCATGTGGTTGCTGGGAATTGAACTCAGGACTTGTGGAAGAGCAGCCAGTGCTCTTAACCTCTGAGCCATCTCTCCAGCCCACTCATTTTTTGTCAGAGTGGACTCAAGTACTTTAGACTTCGCTGCTTTTCCTGTTGCTGCATCAGCATGCCTAACAGAAGCAACTTCAGGGACGAAGGGTGCTTATTGTCATAACCCCGGGTTTTCAACCCACGATGGCAGGGGAGCCTTGGCACCTGGGGTGGTTCTGTCTGCAGGAGTGGGAGCTCATAGTGTGGTGTGACGGTTGATACTGTCAATTTGACAGAATCTAGGATCACTTAGGAGACAGATCTTCGAGCCTTTCTGTGTGGGTCTTCCTAGATTAACTGACCTCGGAAGACCCGTTCTGAATGTGGGCAGCCCCATCCTTTGGACTAGAGTCCTGGGCTGAGCACCAGCAGTCTCTTTCTCTGCTTCCTGGCTGCGGTTGTCACATGAACAGCCACCTCTCCCACCGTGATGGATGGCACTTTCCTTACTAGGAGCCAAACAGAATCTCCCTTGAGAAATTTTGTCACAGCGTTGACACAGACAACTGAACATGTGGCTCTTTCACCTCCTCATGGATCAGGAAGCAGAGACCTTTAGACCAGAATTGGAGGTGGGCATAACCTCCAAAGGTCGCCCTGTGTCTACCAGCTAGGGTGTGTGTCGCAAAGGTTCCATAACCTCTCAAGACAGGGGACCAACTGTTCACACTCTTCTGTCGCCTCACATTCAGATTTTAGCGATCACAGCTGCTTTTGGACTCTCCTAGCTCTTCCAGACTCATCTTGTATTTCCTGGTCTGGACCAAGAACACCACATCTCCAAGCAGCTCCCTCAGGGTGGCATTAGAAACCAAGACATGGGCACAGGGTGCTCAACCATGGGCCGCTGCTGCTTACACACCCTCTTAACGGTGAATCTGTGTGTGCCCCATGTAATTAGTTCCATATGTAACTTGGATGGTTCATTGTGACTGGAACCCTGACTGCATTGAGAGCCAAAAACTGTGTGTATGAGGGAGTTCTCAGAGCAGATTAGAACCAGAGGGCCCCCCCCCCCGACATGATGAATAGTTCAACCCATCAAAATCGGGGTCGTGGAAGATGGAGCTTGGTTAGAGGAAGTGGTTCACAGGGGTTGGTCCTTTCAACTACATGATGCCCTGGTCTCTTTCCTGTATTCCCACCCCCTCCGCTTCCTATTTGGTGGAGGCGGGGCATGTTGTATAGGATTTCACATAACTCTGCTACCGTGATGTTCTGCCCAAGCCCATGAGACCAGTGACTATAGTAATGACTCTTTGGGCCCCCAAATGCTGAAGGGGCAGGTGTGGGCCACGAAGTCACTCACCCATTGTGACTTAAATAAAGCTGTTTTGCAGGAGAGCATCATCCCTATTTCTTTCCTTGGAGCTGAGACACTGCAGGAAGACTTTTCCTTCAGCATGGGGCTAGAACACAGGTCTCTGCTGGCAAAGGGCTCTGCCACAGAGTTACAGCCCGGCCTCTTTTTCTCCTTTACTTTATTCCTTCCTTCCTCTTCTTTTTACCATGAATATTAATTCCTGCTGTTTCCAAGTTTACCTCCCTATGGTTACGTATGTATCTTCAGCAGCACTAGCATCCTCTGGGACCCTGAAAACTGAGTGTCTCCAAATGATGAAGTGTTCAGGGGTGCTGGAGTTTTAAGCCTGGCATTATGCCCTATGTATCACACACACACACACACACACACACACACACACACACACACACACACACACACACACACACTAGCTGTGTTTACTGGGAGGGGCC